CCGGGCACGAACCGCTTGGGGCGGGGCGGGGGCGCAGTGCCGTCCGGACCCGCAAGGGGCGCTGCCTGCATGGCCGCCAAACTCCATCCTGACCGGGGTGCGCCTCCCTGAGTTCTCCACAGAAACGAGCGCTGCACCCATAGCAGCCGCTGACTGAGCCAATCAGTCAGACAGAATTGTGTTTGAGGTGGGCAGGACGGCAAAGCTGTCGACATAAACTGTGTTTCACATCAGAGGGACATCCACACAGTTCTATCCCATCTCCTACTCTCTTGTCCTTCCCCAGTGCAGTACATATGAGAACAGTGGAAGCACTGTTCACATGGGTCTGTAGGGTTGCTTGTTCCCATGGCCTCCCACACAGCTACAGCTTTTCCTCTGAGTGCTGCAGAGGCTGTGTTATCTCTCTGTAGGACCTGTGAGGGCAGTTGTGGGCAGAAACACTACCAGTTAAAGGCCCATAGCCACATGTTCGGTCTTAGACAAGGATATCTCCTTCAGCAGCAAGGGACAGTGCCCAGGAGAGGAGTAACTGCACTGCTTCACAACATGCCATTCTTCTGGGAATTGAGAAGGGTCTCCATAAATACTCATATTATAAGCACCAAGAAGAAAGCCATTCTCCCTGAGCAGTTCTGGGGGCCATAAAGGTGGAAAGAAAAATCAAAAAGTCAAATGAGATGTAGAAATCTTTAATGAATTTTTGCAGAGAACTACCAGGTCACACACTCAGGAGAGGCTCCACAGTGCAGGATTCATCCAGTCCCACTTGAGCTAGAGCTTATGCAGGATTAGAGCGTGCCTTTTTGGAAGGGAACAGGATGATTCTCAGAGTCTCATAATGCACAGGAGCAGAAGGAAGAAAAACAAATAAATTGAGGGCTGGGGGAGTGGGGGGGGAGGGGGGGGGAGGAAGAGGGAAGAAAATTGAGAGAAATGGGTTGGTAGAGGAAAAGAGAAAGAGACATAAGCCAAGTTTTCAAAACGTTCAGGCATGCCCTTTTCTCTCAGTATTTCCTGGAGTAGCTGAGTAGGGTTAGGAATTCTGAAAGCAGTGGCTTAAAGATGTCTTCTTGATCCAGCACCGTGTTCAAGGCTCATGGAAGAATTTACCCAGGTCCACAGCTTCAGCAGGGCGGGCACCTTCTGCCACAGGAGCGGCTGCCCAAGCCAGACAAGTCAAAACCCCCCGAGATGATGGGCACGCCCTCAGAGCTGAGGATGCGGCCAACAGCAGCGGAGGTGGAGGAGCCCACAACGGTGTTCTGTGGGAAGGAGCTGAGGATGGGTCCGGGCAGGGTCACCACCACGGGAGAGGGCTGGATGACAATGGTGGAGTCCTGGCACTGCCTGACACAGGGCTCATTGCAGCTGCTGGCCAGAGGGGTCGGGCCGCAGAGCCGGCATGGCACACACTGGGTGTAGCAGGACATGACTTGGGACTGGAGGTGCACCTGGGAGAGAGGAATAGAAGGAAGTAGAGCACGAGGGTATGTGAGGGGCAGCCTGGATAGCCTCTCAGAAAGGAACCAAGGCAACTACTCAGGATGGAGGAGAAGGCTGAGAAAGGAGGACAGATCCTTTCATAATGCCAGGACCCTACTGTGAGTTGTCTGACACAGAGAGATTCTCTTTGAGTGCATCAGTCTAAAGCCATGTGAGCTGTGTCCCAAGCACTCTCTGAGCTGACATTATCTCATCCATGGTCTCCCATAGTATGGAGATACACTGCCTGATAATTCTTCTCTTGAGACAAGAGGAGGAGAGAGAGAGCTTCACGCTTACCTGATTCCCAATGAGGAGAAGACAACAGAAGCGGATCACAGAGATGGGAACTAGGATGCTTTTTTTTTTTTTTTTTTTTTTTTTTTTTTTTTTTTTTTTTTTTTTTTGTCCTTTATCACTGCAGGTCTAGCTTCCCTTCCCTGTTTTCAGAAGAGAGCACTGGACATTCAGCTTTTCTGACATCAATGGCCAAGATCTCAGTCCTCTGTCCAGTATCATCTTCTGGGTTCCCAGGGGAGCTGGCCTGGGCTCCTGTCAGTGGCTTCAGTGAGTGCAGAATCATCTGCTGCAGCAGCACCTGTAAATGTAGGAGAGTTTTCAGCACCTGGAGCTGATGAGAAACTGTAACAGCTGCAGATGCTGCCAATGGCAGCAGAGGTGGAGGATCTCACAAAATGACTCTACATAATAGAGCTGTGGATGGGGGCAAACAAGACCCTTACAGGAGAGGACACAGTGATGATATTGGAGTTCTGACACTGTCACTGCAGCTTTTGATCAGCTGGGTCAGGCCACATGGCCAGCAAGGCAGGCCCAGCTCATGCCTGGCACGGATCATAGCAGGACAGGGATCAGGGCTGAAGCTGTACCTGGGAAAGACTGCAAGGAGAAAAAGAGCACAGGGACATATGAAGAGCAGTCTATCACCTCCTGTGAGCACACCAATGTAGTGTTAAACAGGAAAGCATCAAGGTGGGCTTGAATATTTCCAGAGTAGGAGATTCCAGAATCTCTCTGGGCAGCTTGTTCCAGTGCCCTGCTCTTAAATGGTCAAATTGAAGAGGTTCTTTCTTGTATGCAGATGGAGATTGCTGTGTATGAGTCTGTACTTCTTCCCACCTGTCCTGTCACTGGGCACCATTGAAAAGAGCCAGGCAATGCACCTGCCCATTAGATATTTATAAGCACTGTTAAGATCTCCTCCTCATCTTCTCCAGGCTAAGCAGTCCTGGGACACTCAGCCTTTGGTCCAGAGGAAGATGTTTATGGCCCTATAAAACTGCAGAATGAGACAAAATGCTGTTTTTGCTTCATCTGTAGATGATCTGAAAGGAGTAGCCATGTGCAACAAGGCTGCAGTTGCTCTCTTAGTGGAAAATCTGTCTGAGCCAAGGAACGAGGCAGTGACAGCAGAGGACTCAGCTCAAAGTGCCAACAAGTGATGCTGACAGGGGGCTACCCTGCATGCATATTTTCCACACCATCCTCTTTCCCTCCATCCCAAATCCCAAATCACTCCAGTGCTTTCATGTGTTCAGATTCCAAGGCAGGTGGGCTGGACTGCTAGGTTTCAATTCTCTTCCTCATCCCACTGCACTGTGGTGAAATTTCATGACCTGCTTGGGCTCCTCTTACTGGGCTGTCACTGCACAACTGCAGACCGTGCTGTCAGCTCATCTCGCACCCTGTGCTGCTCAGAGCACTGCAGCCCTGCCCTGCCACAAAAGTCCTCAGTGTCTCCTCAGTCAGCTCCACATGGCCTCAGCTTCTGCCTCTCCAGCCATGTGTTTGCACAAGCATGAGTGCACACATGCACCTGAAATGTGCGTGAGCTTTTGTTTCCATGTGTGGCTCTGCTTTTGTAAGTGTGTTGATTGTATAATCAAAGAATATTAGGCTGTTATAATCACAAAATAAACAAGAGAGTTAGGCAAAGTAGACTATGATAACCCACAAAACACCAGTAGAGGCGATCTCCAGAATTGCCTTCACCTGTGCTCCTCTGGCTGACTCATGGCTCACCTCAGGTGATCAATCAGAGGTTCAGGCCGTGACTCAGCAGTTCCCATACAATTGATGTAGCCTTTATTTTCATGGGCTGTTTGTCAGAGGATGCAGCAACTGAGAGAGAAGGGAATATCTAGAAAGACCAGTAAGAGGGATGTGAAGGTAACGTCTTCAAAAAAAACAGCAGCGACCCAGAAATTCTAAGAGCAATGACAAAGGATAGCAGGGCATCATGGAACACACTAATTCTTATGGCCTTAAATAGCATACACCAGCTGGCACATCATCCAGCTCCATCCATTTCTCATTGTCTTTCCCATGCCTCCCCTAACCTTGATGGGAATGGCCTCTCATTTGTCACTGCATGATGCGAAAAGCACCTGAGGATCCCAGTCTGTATCCCCCTCTGCAAGTTCATCTTTATGGAGATATGGAATCCCATTGTTCCCAAAACTGCAGAATTTCTGTGTCATCAGCGGAAGTATTAGTGTTACCAGGTGAAAGGCACAGCCATTTGGGAATCTCTGAATGTCTAGTCTTCTCAGTGTTGCTCTTTGATTCACGTACACGATATAATGCAGAACACCAGGAATATCATTATACATTTCTCCTGTGCTGCTGGGTCTGTTCAGAGCCCAGGCTCTGGGAAAGGAACTTGATGGTGCTGATCCTCGTTTTTCAAATGCTCTGTTTTTCATTATAGCTTCTAACATCAGCATCATCTTCAGAATTCTCCCTGCCCCCACTACTTTCACTCACCAGAAAGCATTCTCTACTTGTGCTCCCATCACTCCATAGTTCCTGTTTTTAGGAGATTTCTTGAAATAGATACAAAACAATGTGTTGAAATTGAGACAGGACACAAGAGCATTGTGGTTCAGAATTCTTTTAAGCGTGTGGAGAAAGGTGATGGAGGCACAGACTTCTGTCTGTTTGTCTGTTCTACCTCAGGCTATTCTATGGTTCCCCAATTCCATGCATTTCACAGACAATGAGATGATCTGTGGACACACTGTTTATTTTAACAAAAAAGGACGCAGGAGTGGCCTGTCTGAAGGTGTGACTGCAGATTTCTGGGTGGAAAACAGCAGGAAATCCAAGGAACTTGTGGATTCTTTCATCCTGGGAACAACTGGGCCAAGCAAGACACTGTGCTGAAGAATGCTATGGTTGGGACATTCCTACCAGCAACAGCATCCAAATCCAGCCCTGCCATCATCCCCCAAACACATCCTCACCTGACACCTCCCAGCAGCAGCCCTTCTGCACTGTTGAGGCTTGGCTGAAGTGCAGGAGATCTGACTGCAGGTGCACAAAGCCTGGGGAATGCAGGGGAATTTCAGTATCAGTTTACATCTCCCCACAGGGAGAAACACACACTTGCCATGCTTTGAAAATCTTTCCCTCAAAAACATGCCTAGACCAAATGCTTTGGCAGTTGCCAGATTCAACGGTTCCTTTGCATACATTACATCTTCTTGTTTCTCTTATCCAGATACAACCACTGCTATGTCCAGTTAGCTTTTGTCACTGCTGTTGGATTAAGAAGAAGCCACCCTTCTTCCACAGAAGCAGGGAAGGACACACAAAAGGATGCAGCAAATGTTTAATGAGTCTGAAGAATGAAATAAAATCACTCCAAGAGTGGACACCGAGTGTGGGGAGCAGCAGGAACAGACAAGAATCATTCCAATGGCAGCTTTGCCACAGAACTCTCATTTCGAAGCCAGGAATTGTATGGAAGGCAAGCAGGTCACTTGAGGCTGGTTTTGAGGGGTACTAATAGAGATCTCTGAGGAGAAAAGACGACAATATTATTTTCTGAGAAGCTCCACTTGAATGCAAAACATTCCTTATACAGACAGCACATTTATTTCCTGTGCTGTTCAGTTTCATTTCCAGCTTTATGCTATGCTATGCTATGTCCAGTCCTTGCTGAAGGCAACCTATGAATGACTGAAAGAGAGACTCAAGCATTTACAGGCCATACACATCTGCTCGTGTGCTCGAAGAGTCCTACAAAGAGAAATGACGTCATGTTGAGTCACTCCTCAAGGGCTACTGGGGTCATTCTGGTAAGAAGTGGCTCAGCTCCTGGGTGTGACCTTATCAAACCTCACACTGCTATCAGGAAAATTCTGCTGCTCCTCTTTTCCCTCCTCCTGTTTTGCCCTGGGGATGACAGTATGGGAGCAGAAGTTGTTCAGGATCCTTTCCAGATCCCCAAAGAAAGGCACATCAATGAAGGGTGAAATTAAGTGTTGGATTTATTAAGACTGTTGGAAAGAGTTGGAAAGAGTTCTAGAGACAGCAGATACATCCCATCTCCCTTCTGGTTCTGGGATCCCCATCCTTCTTCAGTATCAGATAGAACCAGGGGATTTAGCCAAGTCACTCTGTGCAGAGCCTTTCCACAGACAGCTCTAAATCCACTTCTGAGATTAGACCTTCCAGCACACAGAGCACAGCTGGGCATGGTGCACTCCAGCTGATTCCATTACTGCAGTTCCTCAGGGAAAAGGGGAGGGCTTCTCATTTGCTAAAAGCAAGGCCCAACAGACCAGGCTTGTCTAGCCAAGGATGCAAGGAACACCACGTCAGCTGTATTCCATTCACAGCAATTATAGCCATCTTCATAAGCAGGAGAACGAGGATCCAGGGAACAACATATAAACCATATTCCCTTCATTCCTTCCTACTGTGTGTCAGAGGAAATGTCTGCAGATACCACTGCTAAACCTACTAAGGACAACACAGTGATTAGGAACAGCCAGCCTGGTTCTACACAGAGCAAATCATGCCTGAGCAACTTTATTGCATCCCAAATAAGACTGACAAACTGAGGACAGAGAATGTTCTGTGCTTAGATTTCGGAGGGACTCTGCCTGCCTGTTGCTGTAGTTCCTTCACAACCAAATGGGTGAGTTATGACAAGGGTAAGTGTACAGTAATGCAGGTGGAAAACTAGATGATCTGCTGCACTATAGCTGTTGTGGCTGCTATTTAGAGTACAGCTGGGGACAGGAATTTATTCAGGGGTCTCTCAGGGATCAGTGCTGCACCAGGAGTTTATAACTTCCTGTTAATGTTCTCCATGACTGGACAAAGTGCACTATAAACATGTGTGTGGAGGATCTCTGAATGGGAAGAGCTGTCAGGACCTCATGAAATAGGATGAGAGAAAATGGGAGCCACTCAAAAAGCACACACAGACTGACACTCAAGGATTGCATGGAAATGATTGGAAGAAATAAATCTCACATTCACACCAGCTGATCAGGAATGAAGAAAGCACTGGGCCACTGACTGATCATCAGACTGTCC